TGCTGGAGCGTTCAGAGCGTGAAGACTTTCTTTCAGGTGGCAATACCAAAGGTGCCTCCTTGCCATTTCTGGTCTACATCCCTGCATCTGCATCCATAGTTCCTACTTTGGTGAGATGGACAGTCCAAGGATAGGAGGACCCAAAGATGCTTTTATTATTCCAGTGTGGTTGCCCAGTGCCTGGAAGAAGAGGGAAAGGGGGATGTTGCCAAAGTTGCAGAGTTGCCTGGGGATAGAGAATTGTGATAGAAATGGACTCGGCTGGGGGGTGCAGGCGTTCCTTAAAGGAAACCTTGCAGCATTTGGTGACCCAGTGTCCTCTTTGACGAAGAGTGTGAAGAACAGAAAGGAGGGTTCAGCCTGCTATCTTCCAGCCTCGGTTCCACATTTCCTATGTTGGGTCAACTCCAGGGGGAAACTCTCTGTCCATGTTGAGTCAGGCCCAGTTATCTTAATGTCTCTGACAGACTGAAATACTACTGACTAATGTCCTGCCTCCAAAAGTGGCTGATACTGGATGTTCTCTTTCTTGTTTTATCTTTATACTAAAGTTTTAAGGCCTGAACTTGTAGCTGAAATTCAGTGGATTCTCCCTATGGTGGTGGATATAACTCTCCCTGCCTTACATGGAAACTTTCCATATAGAATTTTCCCTCCCTGACTTTGTAATTTGCCAATAGAGCTGAGTTTAATATTAGATTCTCCTCCCTCCTTATGAATACAAGTGTATCTTGTTTATACCATACCTGCTTCGTAGGAAGAGCTGCTTCTGCGTTGAGTTGAGCATGGTTTCCACGGAAACCCCACGGAAAGACGTGGTAACCCCAAAACTGATGACCTGTTCTCACACCTAAAGGCTGTTGTTTATACCATCCACTTTATTACCCAGGAATAACAAGTGAGTTCACAACAACTAATCTAGCAGATGATTTGTCTGTCAAATTGTTTTAAGTGTAGGTTCCCAAATGGACGATGGAACATGACAGGGAGAAACAAGTCTTATGCATTCCCAGGTGACCTAAGACAAAAATACTAGGTTTCGAAACCACAACATAACATTGTCTCACACATAACAGGATTTCCAATGGATTTTTTCCCCTTCAGAATAATTTACAGGCCTAAAATATAGAAGACAAATTTCCATACAACTATGGAATTCCTGTTTCAGTCACAAAATTTATGCTAATATATTCAGCCAGGCCTTGCCTATGAGAATGGTGTTCTGTTTCCTGCAGTTGACAAAATGTAGTCTTGACTTTCATCCTAAGTTTTTAAAAGTTTTCTTTAAAAAAAAGAAAAAAGGTTTTAACGTTTTCTGACCTTAGAAGGGCAATTACTCCATCTTAACACCCCTTAATCACCTCCTGTATTCACAATGGTTAGAAAGTAGCAAGAGAGAGTTGCCTCCCCACTCACCCATTTAATTTTTTTATTTACAGGTGAAAAGAGGGAGCTGAGGGCAAAATGGCTATCTTTGTTTCCAGCCAAAATTCTAATGCCAGAGAGCAGGCACTCTGCTCATCTGCCTGCTGTCACTTGTAAGATCAGGTTTGCTTAAGAAATGAAACTTGTGCCCATTCTTCATTGTAGGAGTGGTTTGATTTTTCCAAGTATGTTTCCCTGTTCTCCGTTGTAGTTTGGTTTGGATAGTTGGTGCGATGTGAAATTGCCATGCCTCACTCTCATGTGAAAGATGCTATTTAAAAAAGAGCTGAACAGCACTTCTAATTTTCCTCTATAAGAGAAGTAGAGGGGTCATGGGATTAGAGAGTAAGAGGCCCGGGAGGTGGCATTCTTTGGCTTGAATTCTGTGGGAAAGTTCTGTAGGGACTAAGGTCAAAGACAGGTGTTCCAGGTTTTAATTCTGGTTGGGCAATGGGATCCTTTTGAAGACCCAGTTGGAGTGTGCAATCAAGACTTGCCAACTAACCTTCCTGCTTCACTGCTCTGCCTTTTATATAAATATACCTGGATGGAGTCTTAGCTCTGAAGTGTGTGCATCACTAGGATGCTGGCTGTCCTACAGATTCTCATGACCCCTGATGCCTTGCCTGCTGTGAACGGGAATTGTGAAGATCCTCCTGTCTTTTCCTAGCATCAGACCTGACGTTTTAAGATGCTGCAAGACACACAATCATCTGAACTTCCATCAGCCCTCCAGTTCATTGGGGAACATGGATTCTCTGGTTCTGACAGCGGGCGATGTTTTCCCACGCTCCCCACTCATCCCAAACTGGGAGATGGACATTTTTGAGACAGGACTCGAACATTCCCAGACCAGTGACTGTTGCGATCTCTGAAAAGAGTCCTGCCGCAGATAGGATCCAACCCATTGCAATCATGTTAGCAAGATGACTTTTTATATTAATACAGATCTATAAATACATACGTTTATATATAAATACTTCTTTTTCTAACTACCCCTTTCTCCCATTGGCCATAGGAAGTGCAGTACTTTTGGTGCCAAGATTCAAGTCCCTTATGATAACGTGTACTAAAATATAATATGTATAGGACCCCCTCATTGTCCATGCAGCTGATGGGCCTGGACCGATATAACCTGTCCCGTCCTCCTTGGTGGTGCCCCTTTGGGAACTGTACAGCGTGTGTTTTTCTCAGTCGGGGTTAGGGGAATGGGAGCGTGTGTTCGTGTTTTAAACCAAGCTATTGTTTTAAAAGTGTCTGATTTACGATGTACAGACTAAACAAACATTAAAAAAAATAAGAATTGGAAAGCGTATGTCCCATGCATTGAGAGGGCTCCAGATTTGCTTATTTTGCTAACTGGGGGTGTGGAGGGAGCTTCACTTTAAGAATCCCAAGTAGCTAGACCACTGGACAGGGCTTCCTGAAGTGTTGGGACCATGTGAAGGGCACAAGAACACGAGGCCTTGTAGATCCCCAAGAACTGCAGCAAAAAAGGAGATGGATACCCACAGTGGCTAGAATCAGGTTATCAGAGCTTGAAACTTATTAGAGCTGGGCTGTGTGAAGAGCAGAATCTTATACCCAGCCACAGGAGAAAGATCAAGGTGGGTTTGCCAGAAATCTTGCACTGTCTTCTACTAGAAGGGGTTTTCTGCAGTCCTGGGGTCCCACCTTCCTCCTTTAGCCAATCAGGGCAGTGGCTAGGGCTTTCTTATTCTAAGTGAGGTGCCTCTGCTACATGAGCCACAGCTCTCCAACAAGTTGATATGAAGAAGTGGGCAAGGTAGAGGAGGTTTGGTGGAATCTCACTGACATTTAAAAATGTTGAGGTCATCCCTAGAAATTGAACATTCGGAAGCAAACAGTTGAGTACCCGTACTTCCAACTCTCTTCTCTGCCAGTTTCATATAGGCTACTGGAGATGGAGAAGGCTCGGATGATCCTTGGAAGCAAGCTTGCTGGCATTCAAAAAATGCAGGAAAATTTCAACATTGCAGTTTTACACACATTCAAATGTTGCTGTTGAAATTGAAATGTTTGTTAAGTCCTAAGGCATTAACGCAAGTGGCGCTGTGGGTAAAAGCCCCAGCGCCTAGGGCTTGCCGATCGAAAGGTCGGCGGTTCGAATCCCCGCGGCGGGGTGCGCTCCCGTTGCTCGGTCCCAGCGCCTGCCAACCTAGCAGTTCGAAAGCACCCCCGGGTGCAAGTAGATAAATAGGGACCGCTTACTGGCGGGAAGGTAACGGCGTTTCCGTGTGCTGCGCTGGCTCGCCAGATGCAGCTTGTCACGCTGGCCACGTGACCCAGAAGTGTCTCCGGACAGCGCTGGCCCCTGGCCTCTTAAGTGAGATGGGCGCACAACCCCAGAGTCTGTCAAGACTGGCCCGTACGGGCAGGGGTACCTTTACCTTTAAGGCATTAACAAGACAAGTATCGGCATACCAAATTGGATGCTTTTGTTTCTCTTTTTGCACTTCAGGGTGAATTTAAATCAGAATGTTAAACTTTGCAAGCAAATAAAGCAAGGTAGGCCAAGTAGGCCGCAGGAGTACTTGGACAGGGAACCCATGGGCCACAAACTTTGAGAAGGCAACGCAAGACCTGGTGGGGAGGGGCATCATATGTTGCCGAGGGCCACCAAAAACGGTATTGAGGGTTGTGCATTGGACCACCCTGATGTAGCCTGTGTTGTCTACTGGGTTTTCCAGAACCCTCAGGCGAAAAGACTTTCCTCACTTGCTATCCAGTCCTTTCACATTAAGATGTCAGTAACTGAACCTGAGACCTCTGTGCAAAGTCTCTGCTCTACCACTTGAGCTGGGTTCAATTTTGGCTCATCCCTAAGAGGATGGGCAAGTTGGAGAAGCTGGAGAGCACCTGGCCCAGAAGACTGTGTTTGGCTCTTGCTTCCTTTTTTAAATTTCCTATTATGTATATAGGAGGGGCCTGGATTAACACCAGGTAAATCTACATGATCTTGTGTGACAGACATTTCTGTGATGCTCCATTTTGAAGGAGATACTTAAAATATATCTGCTATCACAAATGGAGCCTAAGCACTATGAAGAACATTGACAATTTAAACTGGAGGCAAGTAACACATGGATTTTTTTTCTCTTGCGAGATTGGTACAATGCACCCAGCTCAGACAATGAAGCAAAAGTGCTGCATATAGGAAATGGCTGTCAAAACCCACCCCTGGGAGGAGACCACGTAAACTTCAAATGTTTACACTGCCAGATCTGCAATGAGAAATGCAGAACTGAGAATGCCTAGTCTTGGGGGAAAGCTAAAAAACAAAAGAGTTTTCATAAAGTGTTTGATGTGTGACTGAGGGGTCTAAACTGATAATATTTGGAATGGAACTATTTTTGGAATGGAACCGATAATATTTGGAATGGAACTATCTTTGGTAACAGCAAGTAGCCTGAGAGGTTGGTTCAACAAATTTTTCTACCTAAATTTTTCCATTGGGGTTATATGCAAATTCAACTATGTTATAACAAAATATTTTTTAACTGGCTAGTGCTTGCAAAGCAAAATGTCAAGAATAATTTGGTTTTAAACGTGGCTACAACTTTTCAGAAGATTTTATTTCTACCTTTGGATTTCTGCTTACAACTTTTACAAGACTGGGGGACCTTTCTTCTAAAGACCTTTTCCCCAACTTGTTGTAACATGAACAAATCTTGATTTTCATCCTCTTTATTTACTTATAGCTCTTTTCAAATGCATTTTAAAAAATCATTTCAGATTTGCCCTCCTGAGGGTAAAAACACACATTATAAATTGTGGGTTATGATTGCTATGAGCAGGACCATGCATCTGCTTTTTTAAAAAAGCAACAACAACCCAATACTGCATCAGTATACCTAATGTTGGTATCTATTAGTACAATCCTATGTCTACTCAGAAGTAAGTCTAATGAGTTCATTGGGCTTTCTTCCAAGAAAACTGATATAGGATTACAGCCCAAACCATCTGCACTCTAGCAATTGTGTAGTTACACAAATGAAGTAAATGATAACTTGCTTATTTCATATAACACCATTTTTCTTCTGCTAGCAGTGGGAAGGGGCAGACACCTGTACAAGGCACTGGTTTCTAGAAGTGCTCAGCTACTCCTTGCCCCAATTTCAGAAATGTTACCGACCGTTAGCCATGCACTTTAGGCCTCTCTCTTCATTAGTTTGGTTCAGATGTAATGCCCAAACCAAGAAAAGTAGTAAGATTTGGTTCACAGGTAATTGCAAACAAACAAACAAAAAGAGCTGCAAGATCCTAGCCCTCAAGCCTATGGCTACATTTAGATGGAATGCCAAACCACACGTTACATAATCAAGCCTTTAGACTTATTAATACATCATTGTTGTACCTCACCCTTCCAATAGGAGCACAGGGTGGCCTAAAGCTACAAGTGAAACAAATATTGTTGGCAGCAGCAGCAACAGCAGCATACTACCTTGAGAATTGCAAAACTCAAGTTTGACCCCAAAGCCTGGGTAAATAAAAGTGTTTTAAATTTATGTTAAAAGATTTCTCCTGTAGGGACCAAACAAATATCCCATGGGGGAGAGTTCCACATAGAGCGTTGCTGCATAAAATACCCTTTCCTGAGTAACTGCACTACTGACTGCTCCCTTCCCCTTCCCTTGCTCCAATTTCCTCCTGTACTTTGTTATCTTTGATTAAATCAACCATATTTTACTTGCAAGCCAGAATTAGAAACCATGGTTTGATTATAATCTCTAGGTCTAGTTTGCAGGAAATCTGCAAGAACCAGAAAGATCAAGAAGAGGGGGTAAGTAACTCACACCCAAGGCTTGCTCATGAAACATAACCATCGTTTGGCATTCTATCCAAAACACACCTGTGGGTCTAGAACAGGCTTCCTCAACCTCAGCCCTCCAGATGTTTTGAGACTACAGTTCCCATCATCCCTGACCACTGGGCCTGCTAGCTAAGGATCATGGGAGTTGTAAGCCAAAAACATCTGAAGGGCTGAGGCTGAGGAAGCGTGGGCTAGAAGCTTGCTGTTTTCTACAAAGTTAAAAATGAGATTCTCAAAGACGCTGAAATCAGCATCTACTGTTGCAATGGTGCAGAAGTACGCGCAGCTCTGCCAACAGCTACAGTGTGCCATCTCCCCATGGAGAACTTCCTCCTCAAGAGTCACTGTGACTTGGCACTCCATTGGTCTTTCGCCACCACTTTACCACCAGGCCCAGCACCCTCCTGCCCATGAAGCCGGCGATGCTTGGCAAAATTGGAAGAGTTATTGAAGCGCCGGCAGCACACGGCACATTCAAAGGGCTTCTCCCCAGTGTGCAGTCTCCGGTGAGTGGCCAGGGCTGAGCTCTGCGTGAACCTCTTGCCACAGACAGCACACCCAAAGGGCCGTTCGCCCGTGTGCACCCGCAGGTGCTCCTTCAGATCTGTGGCACGACGGAACTGCTTGGGGCATGCAAAGCAGAGGAAAGGCTTGGAATCGAATGCTGACTGAGAGGGCTGATCATAAGGCTCGGGATCTTGGAAAGGAAAGCAAGGTGCAGAGCCCCTCTCTTCCCAGTGCTGAGCGGTGCTTCCAAACTCCTCTTGTAAGGAGCCATGACCAGGAGATGTGGAAATATCGTAAGGCAGAGAACATGGCTCAGGGCTCTCCAGTTCCCAGGGAGATACACCAGCAGGCATGTCCAAGGGAGAGCATCCTTCAAATTCCCCCCTTTCGCTTCTTGTCTCCAAATCGGTCTCTTCCCAATCAGGACAGGACCAGACAGACACTTTTGCTGTGAGAGCATTAATCTTCCCCGGGGCACACGCTTGAAATGCCACCTCTTTCTGCTTGTTGCTGCTGCCATCTTGCCTCAGCAATCTGAAGTGGCCAGCACCATTTTGTCTGAGGTCATGGGAAGCGATTCCATGGTGGCCATTTTGTCTCGACACTGAGGTACTGAGGCGCCTGCTTGGATTCAGTGCGCTGACAGGGCATTCCCCTCTACCATTCTGCTTTATGTGGGCACCAATGCTCTCCCCACTACTATGCTTTGGGCCCTTGAGGTAGTCTTCATTTGTTCTCCTTACTAAACAGCCCACAACTCCACTCTCTTGACTCAGCTTGTGGCTACCAGCTTCCAAAAGGCCTTTCCCACAAATGCCGTCGTCTAACAGTAGCTTGCCATTGTGGCTGCCGACATGATGCTTCTGTTCTCCCTGAGTGTGGCTTCCCTCTGCTCTATTTTGCCTCAGGCCTGTAGTGGGATTTTCACCACCAACATACTTTTGGCGTCTGAAACTGTGGCCATTTTGCATCGGTCCCTGGCCGGTGCCACCATTTCCCCCCAGTCCACTTTTGCTATCACTTGCCTGCCTTAGATCCTTAAAATGGCCACTTTGCCTCAGTTCACGGTTAGAGCCACAACTAGCATTATCTTCCCTTAGTCTACTTTGCTTGAAATGGTCCACATCATCACCAGGTTGCCTCAGGCCGCTATCCTGGCTAAAGCCATTCACATAAGGGCTGTTTGGGTCACGGCCTCTCTTGTTCTCGCCTTCCCTCAGTTCTTTGACGACCTGGCAGCCATTTTGTCTGGGTGGCAGGCCAGGGCTTATACTGTAGCCACCTTGTCTTTCCGCCAGCTGGCTCAATTTCTTCTCAGGTAGGAAGGCACAGTCCTTCCCGCCGCCTGCCTTGTCGCCGTAGCCAAACGGTTGTCCGTGGATGCGCTGGTGCTTGCGGAAGTTGGAGCCGTTGTTGAACGACTTAAAGCAGATGCCGCAGCGGAAGGGCCGCTCGCCAGTATGAATGCGCATGTGGCCAGAGAGCACTGAGCTCTGAGTAAAACGCTTGCCACAGATGCCACAGCCATAAGGCCTTTCGCCTGTATGTACCCGCTCATGGTCGCGTCGGTCTGAGGCCCTCTTGAAGCGCTTGGGGCAGAAGGAGCAGCTGTAAGGCCTCTCGGCAAGGAAGGACAGGGCCTCTTGGTTGCCAGGCAACCATCCCCGGGGCTCGACCAAGAGGCTTTTGCAGCCCTGGCATTGTGGAGCCTGCCCTTTGGGCCCAGTAAGACTCGGCAGCTCCTCCTGGCACAGCGGGCAGACGGGGGGCAATCCTGGAGTTGCCTCTTCTTTCACTCTAACCAGCTGGATTTCCATCGGCGAGTCCACACCAGCAGAATGCCTGCTTCACAGCATCTTCCCCTGGAAATAGCAGGAAAGGCAGAGATGTAAACAGAGCAGGTAGGGTGGGCAGATCAAATAGCCAGAGCTTGAATTACACAGGGAGCAGTAGAGGCCTGGTTTCCTTACCTATTGCTTTTAGAAGGCTGAAGAGTAAGGAGATGATTTGGCTAAATCCTGAAGGAATCAGGGAATGGGGAGCTGCGAATGTAATTCACCTCCCTTCCCTAACCCAAGCCCACATGCCGCTTTCATTTAAGTAAATTTCTACTCAGCCTTTCTATCTAAGAATGCCCAACGAGGCTAAAAGCAAAATATAAAAGCAACATCAATGTAACCAAGTTAAGCTGGTCAGTTGAGAACAATATGAAAACAAGACAGCAGCAGTTAAAATATTTAAGGAAATAAAAATCCTCCAATTAAACAAATGTCAGGTGGAATTAATCTGTTTTAAAGCAATGGCAAAAAATTATCAGAGGAAACACCAGAAGGGTCTCCTTGGGCAGACAATTCCCCAGGCTCCATGTGGCCACAGAAAGGTTCACTCTTGTGTGAGCCCTTTCTTTCTTTCTTTCTTTCTTTCTTTCTTTCTTTCTTTCTTTCTTTCTCTTTGTTTATGCATTTTTACAACTTATATATACACCATAAAATATTCATCATTATTTTTTATCCTTGGACTTCCCAGTCTAACTCTCCATGGCATTCTAGGTAGTATTTTGTCGGCTGCATAATCTATTATTCCACTCATTTTTGTCACAAATCTTCCCTTATTTAATGTTATCTGCTGCTCTTATGTTCATTCCTACTTGTAGGTTAAACTGACTATTATACCCTCTGAGATACTTTTCAAAACACTTCCACTCATCTCTAATCCGTGACTCATCCTTATTTCTTAGTTTCGCGGTCATAGTTACTAATTCAGTGTATTCTATCAATTTATTCTACCATATTTCTTTCGTGTGAATCTTTTTTCTTTCCATTTCTTCACATATACCACTTTAGCTGCGGTGGTTGCGTTTAAAAAGAGATCGAGTGCCTTTTTCAGGACATCCTAATAGAAAGGCCTCAGGTCTTTTGGGAAATGTGATCTTAAGGATCTTTTTAAATTCTGTATTAATCATCTCCCAGAATTCTCTAGCATAGTTCCCATTGAATTTCAGCTAAAAGCAGAACTTACTACGAAGCCTTTACAATGTGTTTTCATGTGCCTGAGTTGGGTACAAATACTTTAAATGAATAAACAAGCATGTCTGGTATCCCCAGCTTAAATCAGACCTCACCAGGGGTCAGCAACCTTTTTCAGCCATGAGCTGGTCCACAGTCCCTCAGACCATGTGGTGGGCCAGATTATTTGGGGGGGGGGGGGGCTGAACGAATTCCTATGCTCAACAAATAACCCAGAGATGCATTTTAAATAAAAGGACACGTTCTACCCTTGTAAAAACACGCTGATTCCCAGACCGTCCATGGGCCGGATTGAGAAGGCGATTGGGCCGCATCCAGCCCATGGGCCTTAGCCTGCCTACCCCTGCTCCAGCGGCGTAGCGTGGGTTGTCAGCACCCGGGGCAAGGCAAGTAATTTGCGCCCCCTAACCCGTGGATTTGCGCCCCCTAACCTGTGGATTTGCGCCCCCTAACCCGTGGATTTGCCCTAACCCCAGATGTTGCGCCCGGTGCGGCCGGCACCCCCTGCACCCCCCACGCTACGCCACTGCCCTGCTCTACACCCAAGGGTGCAGAAGTCCCCTCCACAGCCAGTGTGTCCTGAACTTCCCAGATAACTTGTTCATTTCTTAGTTCTAACCCAAATCTTTCCCTGGTTTAAATCCTCGCCCAAGGAACCCAGGCATCCTGACCACCAAGCTGACTGGCTGGACTTCACTGTTTTCAATGCTCATCCGAAGCATCCCAACTCCAAGTCTGCTGCTCCCTTCCCAGATCACTGCAGGGAAACTCCATGTGAAAAGGCTGTTTACCTCTAAATCAGAGGTGCGGGTGGGGGGTGGGAGGTAAACAAGAAACGGGAGGGCCACCATCATCTTTATCCAGCCCCTCCGGATGGATGAGCTTTCGGCCTGGCCCAGAAAATGCCATCCTTGACCCTAGCACCCCCCACACACCTGCCCCAAATCTTGCTTTCTTAGCTCCTAGGCCCCTTTCGCTGGAGCCTCTGAACCAATCAGAGAGCCCAGCCCAGCGTCCCGGCTCCCGAGTTCCCCTCCGGGGCTCTTAACCCGCCCCACTCCCTCCAAGCCTGGTACCCAGCCGCCTGCCCTCCAAATTTCACCGGCCCTCTCCCTCCAGGGCATCCTGGCTGCCAGCCAAAAGCGTCCCAACCCCGTTTACATCTCTCCCCCACCGGCCCCCAGCTGCGATCTCCGATCAGATCCCGCTCGTCCTCCTCCCTGAACGAGTCCGGCTTCTTGGCGGAGAGAACAATAGCCCGGAGCTGGGCGAGCGTGGCCAAAGGTGGAGGGCAGGGGACCCGCCGCTGGCCAGGCTGCAGGGGGCCGCGGGGAGCGCCATCGACGGTGCTCGTGCTGCAAGCCCTCCGCCCCGCGCCTCTGGGTTGACTTCGGGGTCCCTTTGTCCCTCCCTCTCCCCCCCGCCTGCCCCCCCCATTGGCACGCGAGTCCCCTACTCATCCTCGGGCATTGCACCCGGCCGCTGGCATCCCCTCCTCCTCCTCCAGAAAGGACTCCTTCACCTGTACCTGCTCCATCCAGGCTGGTACCGGGGAGATTCTGCAGCGCCGCCGCCGTCCCTGTGCAACTTTCCGCCTCCTTCAGGGGGAAGAAACAGTTGGGAAAACTCCCCTCCTCCCTATCCCGAATGCGCACCTCCCCTTTAAGTGCAACCAAAAAGGAAATTAAAGGGAGCTGGGAGATGGCCCTGGCTTTTTGTCTGCAGTCAGAAATACAAGCAATACATGAACACTCTCCCCCCCCCCCACCTCCTTCCCCTCGTTTAAAGACACAGCCGCCCCGCTTGCAAAGTAGGGAGAATCAGAGGCTGGTTCTGTGATTTAGCTTCGTTCAAATACGCTGTATCCGCGGTGTAATAAACCAGGATGAATTAGAAAAGGGTCTGTGCTGCAAAGCACTTTTTGCGATTCCAAATGCTCCTGTTGCAGTTAAAAATCGCGTCTGCATCTTTATTCTCACGAGAGCATAAGAAGAACACCCCCCCCCATCCTGTTCTTTCAGTGAAGCAGATGCCAATGGGAAGACCACAAGCAAGGCATAACAGCCCTCTCCCCTTTTGTGACTGGTATTCAGAGACACACTGCCTCCAACACTGGGTGGCAGAACACAGCCATTGTGATTAGTAGCTATCTGTAGTTTCATCCTCCACGAATTTGTCTCTCTGGGTTGGTGGCGAGCACTTCATACTGTGGCAGCAAACTCCACAGTTCAACCAGGCACGTGCACCTTTCTGGAATCTTCTAACCTTCTCAGGATGGCCCTGAGAGAGAGGTTTTTCCTCTCTGTCCACTTCCCCCACATCACACACAATTCCATACAACTTCCTCACGAAAAAGCAGGCTTAAAAATCTATTTTTAACATATACTATGATACCAGCATCTCAGCTGTAACAGCTTTTATCTTTTCTCTCTAGACTGGGGAGCAGGATGTCATCGAACCAGTATGTACATATTCTGCACTGATGTCAGTTTGCTCTGAACAAATTCTATATGCAGTTTTTCAAAGGAGAATTTGCATTTCCAAGCACGCCTGCTTTCATTCCACCTCCCCTCCCCCAAAGCAAGGTTCTGGACTGCTTGGCCAATGTATGGGTCAAGCTGGGAAAAACAAGCATTTACTCTATTCCTTCTTCGACCTCTGTGCTCATGTTCCTGTACTGCTTTATCCTGGTAGGTTAACATACCCAGCTTTTAAAACTAAAATAATAAACATTCCAAATTCTCTGGAAATGCAAATGTTGGGTTCATAAAAAAGCATGTAGCTGAGAAAGCTTATGCAAAACAAGTGATATACTTACATTTTATTGATTTACATACTTTGAGTACTCAGCTGGCAGATTCTTGACGCATATTTGGTTTTTGTAAAAAAAAAAGAGTTCATAAAAGGATGCTACATTCAGGGTGCATCCCACACTTCGTCCTTCAACAAAACCTCTTTAGAGAAAGCCGAGACAGACCACTGAGCCATCTGTTTTGTCCGCTCCACAATGCCAGGCAGCGGCAATCCATGGTTTCAGAGTGGAGTTTCTCTAAGACCTACCTGGAGGTCAGGGATTGAACCTAGGACCATCTGCAATGGAGAGCAGCTGCTCTACCCCTGAGCTTATAGCACCCACCCCCCTTTCTATGTTCAAGGAAATCAAGTGATTCTCCACATCTTGAGAAAAGACCTTTTGCAAATGTCTAGAAGTTACACAGCTGAAAGGCACTCTTCTCAAACCCAGCAAATGGCTAAATTCTTGCCAACGGATCTACATCCTCTCAACGAAATGGAAGTAACACAGCAGAACTTTATTCGCTTAGCACACAAAGATGAACCAAAACCCCAGAGGATTGTTTTTAATTAAAAAAAAAAAAGGAAGACACACACAGTTTAAAAATTCCACACTAAATATGAAGCAGAGGAAACATGATCCAGGAATCTCCCTGGCAAGCTTTGGAGGTACCAGGCTAGCCGATACCTTGGAACACATGCCTGTATATCGATGTCTCCTGATTGTTTCTCCCTGTCGAGGAAACAGAGATTCTATGTTTGTTAATTATTGTAGGAAACCACAGCAGTCTTATCACATACATCCCACAGGCAGTAAGCCTGGGATGAAGACCAACATGTTCTGTTGCTGCATCTCTGGAGTTGAAACCCACCCACCCCGTAAGTATATAGACCGTGGCCTGCAACTCTTTGGGAAGCTGGTTGAAATGGTTCTAATTAGGGAGCAGAAGAAAACAAGGCCTGACCAGAGTTGATGGGTCCACACATGGATCTGATCTGGAGGCTGGACTACCAGTAGTAGCAGCAGCAGCAGCAGCCGCTGGAAGGAATGTAGAATCACCAACTCTGTTTCCCTGGAAAAATCTGGAGGGTTTGGAAATAAGAGACTGTTAAGGCTGGCAAGTTGGGGAATATCCCATATTCCATCCTTCAACACCCATACTCCCCATATAGATTTTTAAAATAATAATAATAATTCAGAGCCAGAATTCATTAAAGCAGTGTTTTATAGATGGAAGGGCCGGTTAGGAGGAGCCTTAAGGAAATGCAACCCTCCCCCAATCCTTCTAATTTTAGCCAAATTGTGGTCCCCTGTAGCCTTCAAAAAGCAGCAGCCAAGGGGGCTGCTGCAACAGGTAAAGGGTGCCAGGCCCTCTGGCTCCCCTGTAATTTGGGCACTGCCTTAAAGAAAAGTGACTTTCTTCCTGCACATGGAATTCAGCTGATGTTCCACCCAGCCTTCTCTAGCCTCTTGCTTACGCTCCTTCAATAGGCTCTTTATTGTAAGGGAAGGAGGGGGAGAAATTTGGGCCCAGGCGTTCTTGAGGTGGAATGTCAGGATTCAAGGCCACAGCCTCCTTCGTACACCAAGTAGCCATGCAGCTGTAGGAGACGCTTGCAGGGGACTCAAAATAAAGAACCAAAATTGGCCAGATTCGATTTGAACCTCTCGCTAAATTCAACTGGAAGCCCTGCATGGCTATTGTAGAGTAAGGAGAGTTCTCTTCATGGCTGCCCACCACCTGCTCTTAATCTGGAACCAAATTCTGCATGAAAGCAAAGCAGATCTTCCTAAAATAGGCATGCACTAGTTTTCCTGACAGGCTGAGGTCTCCATAATGTGTCTGTGGGTCACAATGCATACATGAGAGGGCTAGCCCCTCGTAGATTCGAAGGCCAAGTCTGCCGATGAGGAGGTTTTTAACAGGCATGCATTGCCATTCTGCATGATAGCATACCCTCCAGGCATACACAGAGGGAGAGTGTCTGCACCAGAATGCAGGTTCTAGGCAGGGTCTGCTGGATTCCTCCCTCCACATATCCCCAATATGCCACAAGAACTTCTCCCTACAACACTGTGGCAGAAACAGATGCTGGCAGGCAATGCTCTGTGTTGCAGAGCTTGGCCCGTGAATCCATGCTGGATGTGAGTGACCTATGGGGGTAGTGGAAACTCGGGGGGGGGGGGGACAAAGCAGGAGGCAAAGAATCCCCCTGCCAGGTTGCGAGGAGCACAGACAGACAGGGATAGACAAGGTTCTACAAAAGGCGGTAGATAGGCCAGTGTGTCCATACCAAGTCCTTGCGGCCTGAGAAGGCAGGAGGGACCTAAGCTGGGATTTTGCAAGCTGGCTATTGCATGCCGGATAGTTTGTGGCATAGGTGGGCGAGGTTCTCCATTCCCATTTCCCCCAAGCAACAGCTAGTCATTGGGCCAGCAAATGGAGAAGTATCAGGTACTTAAAGACACGGGGAGGCATTTGCAGGCCAGTGTTGCTGTCGCATGGGTGGGTGCTAGCTGCGCCCAGGTGGTAGATGTCTAAGGCCTGGGTGGGCAGCGAGGTTCTCAGGCCGATCCTCTCGTGGCACAACTTCAGTCTCAAAAAGGCCGGCCTTTACGGCGTCGGGAGGAGCTGCAGGCGGTGCTTCCGGCGGATGTGCCTCTGGAGGGTATTGCGCTCCCCAAAGCGCATGTGGCAGGCCTCGCACTGGTAGGGCCGCTCCCCCGTGTGCACCCGCTGGTGGTGCGAGAGCTCCCCCGAGTCACGGAAGCTGCGCTGGCAGATGGGGCACTGGTGGGGCTTCCGGCCCGAGTGGGTGTACTTGTGGCGCTCCAAGTGGGACGTGCGCTTGAAGGCCTTGCCGCACGCCCGGCAGACGTGGGGCTTGCTCTCCGAGTGGGTGATGCTGTGGCGCTGCAGGTAAGACAGGTACTCAAATGTCCGCGAGCACACGGGGCAGCTGTACACCTTGCGCAAGGACCCTCCGCTCCCGCCCCCTTCCGGGTCCCCTGCCGCTCCCACCCCCTCTTCCACCAGCACTGTGTATGGCAGCCCCTGGCTGTCAATCAGCAAGTAGCGCCCCAATCGGGAGGGTTCCCCTTGTTCTGTGCCTCCTGTCCCTCCGGGAACAAGTGCCCGCCTCCCTGCTCCTGGCAGCCCATTCAATCCCTGAAGGAGGGCGCTACCAGGAGAAGGCAATGGCGGGCGAGAGAGTTTAGGAGGCGATGTTTGGACACCCCCTCCCTCACCCCCCAGATCCAGCTTGATGGGTTGTCCCACATGGCTTGCAGGCTCTTGTGGACTGAGGGGTTCCAAGGTTTCTGGTGGTCTTTGGGGGTCTCCTATAGACTTGGAATGTCTCTGCAGCTCCATAAGTATCTCCTTATGTGTATTCCCTTGGGTTGGAATGCCAAGTCTGCAATAAGAAAGAAAGCACATTAATTGGGAAAAGTGTGAGGGGGGAATCATATGGGTCACACAACTTTTAGAGCTGCAATTATGTAGGGGTGCCAGTAGGGCTAGGCGATATCTGGTTTTCGACATTGTGATATATCACCAGCTAAACATAGCAAAACATACTGATATATCACAATGTCTGAAATAAGGATGGAGCTATGTAGAGGCATTAGCTGGCACTGGCATCACAGTTTTTCCCGCATCGTGATTTTTGCATAACACACACAGAGGACTCGTGATATACTGCCAGATCAAAAATTATGAAACGGTTATCATGATATGAACCTCAACAGGTTTTAGATGATACATTGATGTATCGCCCAGCCCTAGCTGCCAGCCAATTAAAAGAGCTGTACTGCAATTGATTTGTCACCCACTTGTCTTTTTTTAAAAGAAACAATTCCGTTAATAAATATCATATAGCCAACCCTCAATATAGATGCTTTTTAGAGAGACTAATATAGCTCTTTAGAGAAGCCAAATATAGCTAGCAGCATAATAAAGAACAGCTACCACTCATTGTTTAGAATAAGAGGCATTTTGAATGTTTTCTTATTAATGCTTGGTACACCAGTATCAGAACCACAATACCTACACATAATAAGTCACTGCGTCCTTACTGTACAAGACTACCCAACAACTTTGGTGTCTACTGATTACTCAATCAACAGCCCAATGCCACACATGCTTACATGGAAACAAGACTTTGTTTGATGGGACTTACTCCCGGGCAGGTCTAAGGCTGCAATCTACTTGAATTTGGCAAACAAGCACAGGACTGGACTGCAAAATTTTAGCTGGTTCGTTTATGAAGCTTACAGCCCCAGCAAATAAAGCTACTAACCCTGCAATCCTATACACATTTAATTAAGTATTGTTCCTATTGGACATTGCGGGACTGACTTCACACTTGCCTGGGCTGCTCCTTCCCTAGATTTGGAGATTTCACACATGTTGAGTTCCAAGGAAGCTTCCTAGCAAAACCCTTAAAGACACATACTGTACAAAGTAGCATGTGAATGCAACCTTTGTTTTTTACCATCTGTGGAAAGAACCAGATCTTATTGAGCTGTAGGCTACAGGTGAGTGATCTAAAGCCCCCAACATTGTTTTATGGGGCTTCCAGCTTCCTCTGAACTCTGGACTCTCATACTTCCACCCCCCCACCCCTCTCTCTCTTCCTCCTCCCCTTAAAGGAGTGCCTGGCGTGCTCTGGTCCATGGGGTCAGGAAGAGTCAGACACAACTAAACGACTAAACAACAACAACAGAAGGGGAAAGATTTTGAATGATACATATAAACTGGTTTTAATTTTTTTCTGGCTGTATCATCATAATCATTATCACTTCCTGAATTTATATCCCACCCTTCCTCCCGAATGAGCTCAGGACGGCAAACAGATCTACAATTCAAAAATAAAAACAAAGTAGAAACAGATTAAAACATTCAAAAAATAATTGCAATTAAAAGCATACTTCTATCCAATGTTCTAGTATGCCAGTATTCAGTGTTCAGTTTGAGGAAATGCATTCCAGAACATTAACTGTATTGGTTTGTTGTACTGTACAGTACTTTAAAAAAAGTATTTGTACACTTATTTGAGACTAACCCTATCAAACCCAGTGATGCCTATTTCTGAGTAGACCTGTATAGAGGTGGTAGTTTAATTTGAAGTAAAAGTGGTGAAAATAGAAGAAGAGTGATGTTTATTCCAGATTAGTTAAGCCAGAACAAATATGTCTGTGGCTCTTCCCATTAATTCTGGCTCCATCTACTGCTAGCATTTGGCCACCCTGAAAGATGACCCCTGAAGGAATGTGGCCCTCAACAGAAAAAAAACCCCTGCCTAGCCCATCTATAGCAGGTATATATAATACCATCAACCATTACAGCAGAGTTAGATGGCAGGGGATCTATCTAAATAAATGCTGTCTAAAAGGCCACAGTAGGAAGATGTGATAAGATTTCATCCTCTACTCAGGCAAGGAGGGAGGAGAGGTTACAACATGGAGAAGGAACCACTAAAAATGGAAATAACTTAGAAAACGTGGAAATGTAGTGCCAGAATCTAGGTCTATAGTATCTATATACCTCTTCACTAACACCTAGAAGTTTGTGAGAATCCCTGACCTGAGGCTGTTGGGGGGAAAGTCCTGATATTATTACACCTCAGCTATACCAAAGTATTGCAAGCAGTTTGTGTTGCAGTGTGAATGTGTGGTCAAAGGTGGGGTTAGGGTTCACACGTCTCCTCTGCCTGTCCTCCATTTCTGGTTTTGTCCAACATTCTGCCAAATGCTTCTGGGAAGCTTACAAAGCAGGGTGTTTAGAGGCATACTGATACAGTGGTACCTCGGGTTACATACGCTTCAGGTTACATACGCTTCAGGTTACAGACTCTGCTAACCCAGAAATAGTGCTTCAGGTTAAGAGCTTTGCTTCAGGATGAGAACAGAAATCGGGCTCCAGCGGTGCGGCGGCAGCAGGAGGCCCCATTAGCTAAAGTGGTGCTTCAGGTTAAGAACAGTTTCAGGTTAAGAACGGACCTCCGGAACAAATTAAGTACTTACCCCAAGGTACCACTGTACTGAAGATCAAATTAGCTATCATGGTCATTCATATGGTCAAAGCTGGGGTGGAATAAATGGGAATGGCTCTGGTGGGTGGAGCTGAGGGAAGATATGGTGGGAGAGCTTTGGTGGGGTGGGTGGGACTTGGAGCACTTCCACTTTCTGTAGGCATCAACTGCCTCCATCCCCAGCTCTGGGGCTCTTCCATCAACATACTAATATAGGCCACCTGTCATTAGGTTATGCAACAGCTTTCCTAAACTCCTAGTCTTGCAGACTTACACACAGCCTAAGGACTGGCATCAAAATTCCAAAAGATCTTTCTTGGCAGACACCCAGGTTACTTTCTCTCTGTTAGCCCCCTTCCTCCATATGAAGAACTGGATCCAAACTTACCCTGCTTGGGTGGCGTTCCAAAGTCTCAATCTCAACTCTCATTTCTGCACCAAAACCTCATGCCAAGGTGAGGCAGGCACCAGAACATGCCCTTTGCTTCCATCCTGGAGTTAATGTAATGTCCAGGTGGAGAACAGAGGGGTCTTCCAGTCTATGATCCAAGGCGGCAGTATTAGCTGGCAGTGGATGGCACGGATCCGAGCGAAACAGTTAGCGGCACCAATCCGGGGCGCATGTTGGATCGCAGCCGGCAACAGAACGTGGCCCAGGTCCAAAGTTACCATGAAGAAAGAGGAAGGGATTGAGCAATGCCACCTTGGCGCCCGAGGCACGGCAGGCGGACCTAGAAGTAGCAACCCAATAAGCAGCAAAGTTGCCCGGCAGCAGTGATCCAGAGGAAGCGATATATGGGATCGGTGGCACCTATCCAGCAGGCACGCACGTTCTGGCAAAGGTAAAAGGATCCAAGCCTTCAGGTTTCGGGGAGTTGGCATCCGGCTCCAAACGTCAGTTTAGCAACAGCAGCCTCCACCCACCAACCCGCCGCCCCGCTTGGTAGCAGAGAGGGATATTAGGCTGAGAGGGAGGTAAGCCTCCCCAGGTGCCCCTCCGCTCCCCCCAGAAAGCAAAGCCGTGGGCATCCAGAGCCAGGTGCCCTCTTGCCCCGCTGCCTCCCCCTGCAGCTGCCCACCAGCAGCCCAGGCTCCTCAGGGGAGAGAAGGGGAAACTGAGGACGGAGGGGGGGAGACCCCGGGGTGCCCTGAGGAGGGGGGAGGGTCTCTGTCAGGGTGGGGCTAAGCGAGGGGGGCTTCTACCTCGCTCTTCCTGGGGGGAGGTTGGAGGTGGTGGGGGAGGAGGAGGAGGAGGAGGAGGTGGGTGTCGCAGCGAAAAGTGTCCTGACGGAAACGCGGCGGCTTCTCCCACCGGCTCACGCCGAAGAGGTTCCCAGATCAACGTTCGCCCTCTCGCGCACAGAGGGAGCGGGTCGCGGAGGTGGCTTCTCGCGCACCTTCTGGAGAGCCGAGGGGGATCCTGCCCCCCAGGCGAGGGCGCTCGCCTCCGCGACCCACGGAGACCCTGCCTCGCCTCCCTTCCCTCCACCGCCTCCTCTCCAGAACTTGGCGCAGCCCCTGAATCTGCGCTCAGCATTTGGGATGCATTGCAGGAAGCGATGCAATTAATGCATGCATATGTAAATACACGTATGATTTATGTATCTTGTATGCAGGACCCCCCGACTGCACACGAGCCTTTAGAGCAGCCTTTCTCAGCCTGTGGGTCCCCAGATGTTGTTGGACTACAACTCCCATCATCCCTGAGCTCTGCAGGGCGCGAAGGGAGAAGATTGTGGCCCCTCTCTCCTCCCCGAGGACGCCCTGCTTAGACTGAAACCCTTCGCGTGCTTTTGCTGGACGAAGTTAAGCCCACGGACTTCAGCGGGGCTCAGCTTCCATGAAAACAGACGCGAGTAAAGAGCTGCAAGAAGTTAAGCCAGTCCTGTCCAGCGAAACCAGGACCTGGAACCCTGTTTTTTTCTGCGCTCCTCCAGGTCCTTCACCACCAGGTCTTAGCCCCAGCTCTGCCTTCTCCCACCACACAGTGAACCCAGGAGTGATGGTATCTGAAGAAGTGTGCATGCACACGAAAGCTCATACCAAGAACTAACTTAGTTGGTCTTTAAGGTGCTACTGGAAGGAATTTTTTTGTTTTGACTATGGCAGACCAACACGGCTACCTATCTGTAACCAGGAGTGATGGGTTCAGCTTCTGCCTACTCGATCCCCCAAGCCTCTGCTACCTGTACACTTGCTTCGTGTTATCTAGGTCCTCCCCCCCCCCCACACTCCACTTTCTCCTTTGGTGTTTTCTGCCCTGGTGAAATGTCAAACCCAGAGGCTGAGGAAGAGTGGTTTTACATAGATGCAACAGGTGAAGCTTCTCCCAGAATGGAGAAGGTGTGATGGGGAATGATGAAATTCCTCAAGGAAAGCCATTCCCATCACTGCCTCTTTATTCATGGTGCATATGAAGAAGACCTCTTCATGTCATAGCTGTCTTTTCCCTTTTCTTGCAAGGAATCCTATTCGGAATAAGGGAATTTCCCTTTAAAAAAGGGAAACGTTGACAGCTATGCTTCATGTGTCCTTAAGAGGTACATCTTCACTGTCCTCTTAAATGAGTATAACATTAAGGCAAGATGTAGCTCAGTTGGTAGATCATTCCACAGTTTTGGAGTGGCCACTGAGAAAGGAACATGACACTGCCAATCTCATCCCCTTCAGGGACAGGGAGCAGATCACAATTGTGACGAAACTGCGAGATCCACAGCTGGGCAGTAAGTTTATTAAAGCTGACCAAAATGTCATGAAATACTAGCAAGCACTCTTCTTGAGTTCTTCACTAGGCAAACTATTTCATAAAGCAGAGGTGAGATTGGGGTGGTCTAGGAAAAGGAAAAGTACAGAAATTAAGTTGGATGTTGTAGAAATCAGATTACCGGTGGTTTGTAGACTAAATTCCAAGGTGGAGATTGCACACCAAACTCCAAAATCCACATTTAGTGATACTTGAAAGCTTGCTGCTTTTTGCTATATTTTGGTCAATAAAGATTGAGACTAACCAACTTGTCACAAAGTTCTCCAGAACTCTTCATCAGCTACATAGAGTGTCAGACTAGGAGATCACAGTTCAAATCCCCACTCTGCCATGAAGCTCACTGGATGACTTTAGGCCAATCACTACCTCTCAACCTAGCCTACCTCACAGGGCTGTTGTAGGTATTAACTGTGGGGGGGGGAGTATCATATATGCCACCCTGAGCTCCTTGAGCAAATAAAAGTGGGATATAGATGCAATAAGTAAATTTAAAACAAAACAAAACACCCAAAGTACAAAACAATTCTGCTGACCTCATGGCTACATCATCTGCTTAACTTTTGTATTTTTGGGGTTTTTGTCTCATCTTACTCACCCCCTGCTTTGTATAACATCTTCCCTGTTGAAGAGTTCTAGAGAACTCAAAATCTTGTCACACTTTGTGACATGTTGGCTGATTCCATCCTTCTTATAGATGACCAACATTAAGAAAAAATATGGCAGCAAACAGCATAGAATCAACAATAAATTTATATTCATAAAATAAGTGCATCACAAATTGGTAGATCAGGTTAGGACATCAACAGATCTGGATCACCACTCATGGGAAAGTTGGCTTGTACTAACTGTTCCACTGCAGAAATTTCATGTGAATTCTACACACAAACATCCCTTCTGATCACCCTGACAAAAATGCACAGATGCAGAGGGAAACACAATGGTGTGAAACAAATACACAGCTACTCTCCCCCAACACACTTCCACACAAAGACAAGACAGTAGGTGGATGATAAAGTGGTATGTTTAGGGTGAGGCTTTTCTCTGCCACATTACTTCTCCCACCCACTAGGATAATGACCAGGCATTGGGATCCTATTTTTAATCTTAATTACGGGTTTTGGTGTTAAAATCATGCCTGTTCCTGCACATTCTAGGCTCTGTTCTGGCATGTTGCAGCATTCTCCCCCACTCCAGACTCCCCAACATCCTTCCACAGCCATCTTTATGACATGTCTCCTCTTCTCCCGCTGCCTTGCGGGATATCTCTGGGAGAAGAAAAGCCGAAGGAGTAAACCCTACACAAATCCAGAGTGGAGACCCTAAGACAATTAGATGGCACCTTGTATGGCTCCTTCCAGCAACTCCTCTAGCCAAGCTGATGCCAAATGTCTTGCCCCGCTTTCCTTTGGACCACATCAGTGAGGCTGAGATGATCTTGTCATCTGGGCAGCCCAGGACCTCCATACACGCTGCCCAGCTTTTTCCCCAGGGAGGTCACTTTTGACTTCGCCCCTTGATGTGCACTCCATTGTCTCTTGAGACAGATGCCAACCATCCAACCTCTTCATCCTCCCTCTCACAAATTTCTCTTTATTGGGCTGGGCCAGCTTAGAAGCCCCCTTTTATGGGGTAAAGTACTCAGCCCACCCAACTGCCTAGATGTTGAGAGGTACAATTGTGGCTTGAATGGTTTCTTTTATGGGGAAGAGTGGATGAATTATAGTTATGCTCAAAGTCTAACTGCTGGTCTTGATTTTGGTGACAATTAGCTTGTGACAGTGGAGACACTGGCCCACATTTCATGGTCAGTTAAGAAATATGTTCTTGTATCCAAATCCTTTTAACTGTGTTTGGGCAGGGGGAATGTCATTTAAAAAAAAATAAATATTTTTGTTCTTGCTTTTATTGCGTATTCTATATTTTTATGCTATGAACCACCCCGAGACCTTTGGATGAAGGGCGGTATACAAATTTAATAAATAAGTGATAGTTCCATCTGGGGTTGGCAACATGAAGGCCACAAAGCCTTTGTGCCTCCTTCTCACTGGCCCCTTTGTACTGGGGTGGTTTCCTTCCCTGCCCCCCCCCCATTTTAAAAGCACATTGAGGTGAAGGAGGAAATTGGAAGAGGGATGCTGTTTCCTTGTTCCACCTCCATGTGTTTTTCAAGGACTCATATTGGCAGCTGAGCAGAAAAATGGAGCATCACAGAAGGCGGGAGAAGAGAGGGGGTGACAGCGGAAGGATAGAAAATGTGAATGGAAACTTAGTCACTTCATTTTCCTGGAAAGAGAGAGAGGGGGGGGGAAATGGATCCAACAAAACAATTCCTACCCTAAATTGCATTTCTTCCCTCACAGATCCCTGCCACCCTCCCACAACTCACCATCAAATCAAAGTTCATATCTCTCCTCGTTGACTGAACCATAACCACTATAGATTCACTGCCTTCCAGGACTGCTATGGACCTTCATCTTTATTTTTTTTACAAGGGATCCCCCTCAAAAGCACAATCAAATCACAGGTCACCTCTGTGTCCACATATGTGTTCTGTTATTTATAGTCACGTGGAAAAATCATGAGGAATTGTCCCTTGACTGAATGTTTTTGTACTAGCAAGCACTGGATCTGTATTTTATCAATAGATCAGAGGGAAGGAGGTGCTAGACACAGGTTATGGATATTATTTTGTCCTTTTATATCTTGAAAGATATAATACTTGAAAGTAGTGATATATGGAAGTGAGAGCTGGACCATAAAGAAGGCTGATCGCCGAAGAATTGATGCTTTTGAATTATGGTGCTGGAGGAGACTCTTCAGAGTCCCATGGACTGCAAGAAGATCAAACCTATCCATTCTGAAGCAAATCAGCCCTGAGTGCTCACTGGAAGGACAGATCATGAAGCTGAGGCCCCAATACTTTGGCCACCTCATGAGAAGAGAAGACTCCCTGGAAAAGACCCTGATGTTGGGAAAGATGGAGGGCACAAGGAGAAGGACAACAGAAGACGAGATGGTTGGACAGTGTTCTCGAAGCTACCAGCATGACTTTGACCAAACTGTGGGAGGCAGTGGAAGACAGAAGTGCCTGGCGTGCTCTGGTCCATGGGGTCACGAAGAGTTGGACACGACTAAACGACTAAACAACAACAACAACGAAAATATCTTGAAAGAACATAAGAAGGGCACTGATGGATCACGCCAATGGCCGATCTAGTCTAGCATCCTGTTCTCACAGTGGCCAACCAGATTCCTGGGGAAAGCTCATGAGCAGGACCTGAGCAACTCTTTCCACCTGTGGTTTCTTTCCTCCAGCAGCTGGTATTCAGAGGCATTAGTGCCCCTGACAGCAGACTTTTCTTCTATAGTGGACCTCAAGGTGGCCTCAGACCTTCTTCAATTCAGGAAGAGACAGGTGGCAAACAGGTCCCTATAGAAGGATAGGGAAGGAGGGAATGCTCCAGGAAATTTGAATGGGTATCACCTACAGCAGAGATGGTGATCTCATGACCCAGAACTCGCTGAAAAACTTGTAATTGAGTGTATAGTAAAACATGGGCCCATAATTCCACTCATAAAAAGACTTGTAGTTGTAAAAATGTAGTCCACACACTTTAATGTTACATCACTCTAGCAATTTCATGGCTCACCATGTTCAGCAGCTGGCTCTGCCCTGGCAGCCTTAGATGCCACCTTATGCGCCTTCCAAGTACTATTAGGTACTTTCCCACCAGCCCCCTGATTTGCCAGACATCACTCCTTAGTTCCCAGGCTCTGCTTCCTGTCACAGGACCTGAATTTTAGACCAAGCTACACTACCCTCAAGTCACATCTTTCTTTTCTGAAAATCTGGCTCAAAGTTTTTGGGTATTAGTGTGAGATAAAACAGGGTAACAGCAAGGGCGCAGCTGGCAGGGGCAATTGCCCCCCTAAATCAAGTAAATAAATAAAAATCCTTAAGTAACTGAGGTTCTGTCCCCCCCCCACATAAAACCTGTCCCCGCTAACATAAATCCTGGCTACACCCATGTGTAACAGCGACTGTGGTGTGGGGAAGGCTCTTGGCACATGCTTAGAGGTCCTGTCATCCTTGGTACTTAACATGTTCCAAGGCTGGACCATGGCAGCATGGGAGACTGAGCAACCTCTGAGGCTTACACGTGGTAAGAAAAAATACTGGATTTGTAAGCAAGGCCAATTGTGATTTGCGTGTTTGATTGCTGGTTAGAGGGCCAGAAGAGTTGGGAGGGCCTTGTGGAGACAATTCCCTCTACAGTGGTACCTCAGGTTAAGTACTTAATTCGTTCTGGAGGTCCGTACTTAACCTGAAACTGTTCTTAACCTGAAGCACCACTTTAGCTAATGGGGCCTCCTGCTGCCGCTGCCGCCGGAGCACGATTTCTGTTCTCATCCTGAAGCAAAGTTCTTAACCTGAAGCACTATTTCTGGGTTAGCGGAGTCTTTAACCTGAAGCGTATGTAACCTGAAGCGTATGTAGCCTGAGGTACCACTGTACTAAGCCTCAACATTTTCTCCCGGAGGCTGTTTCACAGGTGCACGTGCTTCACTTGGTTTCTGGCAAGCTAGGCAGCTCGAACAGATTCCCGTGCAAAGCATTGCGCTTGTTAGGAGACGTCCGCAGCGTGCATCTGTGCTGCTAAATCCGTGATGGCTCATTTAGACGTTCAAGCCTGCCCTCCAGGAACGAAGGGATTGCTGTGAATTATTAGATTATTTTTTTGCCTCCAGCCGGCGACGTGCGCCCCCCTTCCCACTTCAAAGCTGTCTCGCTCCTCCTACTCCCTTTTCCTCGCCACCTCCTCTTGCTGCACTTTACAGACGCTCCCCTGCTCAGCTGCAGCCCGGGAGCTGCTGTTTGGGACGCTCCGGCGTGGATGCGGTTGCAAGAGTAAGGTAAGAACTGCGTGTCCTGGCAGCAGCGGGGGGTTGTGAGAGATAGTCTCGGTCCCCTGCACACACCTTGACTTGATCCTTGCCCATCGCTACCCTCGCTGCTGGTTCTCGGGAGATCGGACCCCCAGGCATCCCGTGCGTAATGCTCTCCAAGTCTCGGGGCGCAGCGCCGAGGGCGCACGGGGGTCCTTTGGCGTCTCCAAAGTCTTGGCGCGGGCGTCGCAACCACCGTCATTTGGGGACGGGGAGGGAGGAATCCTTCATCACAGGGCAGCAGCCGGGGCCATTTTGGAGTGGTGGTGGTGGTGGACTCTGGTTTTTTTTGCCAAAGGCCCGATTTGATGGGGGATAGCGGGTGGGGCGGAGAGGGAGGGTTACAGACCCCCCTCCATCCCAAGCAATTCCTTGACGTCGTCTCGAGCCGGCCTGCTGTAGGGAGTTTGCGTGGGAGAAGCTTGTATCTGGTTACTAGCGAGATTCTAGTAGGATGCAGGGAAACGGGAGGAGGAGAGGGAGAGAGAGGCCTTGCTGTGGCCAGTTGGTTTGGAGTCGGAGAGAAGGCGAGCAAGTCTGGACATCATTGAAGGAGCAAGTAATGGCAATGAGGAAACGGGTAGGTGGGCAAAGGTCAATGACTGGCGGGGAAGGAAGGCAAATGACATGCTGATGTTAACTGCGGGGCCTAGATAGGCGGTGATAGTCACCTGTAGGACTCCAAGAGGCGGCTCAGACCAAGATATTTTGCGGCCGGAGACAGCTGCACCTCAGGATCTCAAGAGGTGTGCCCCCAAATGCATTGCAATGTCCCAGAGGATGCTAGGAGGGAGACATCACCCTGGTGGCTTCCCTGGCACCCCTAAGAATATTGTGACTTCCCTTCTCTCCACTGGTTGAGTTACTTGTCGGTTGGCTTTTGCTTCAAATTTTGGTTTCCAGAAGCTGAGCTTTTTGGGTTTTAGGTAAGCATGTTAGAGTCTGTGTGACAAGGAGGGAGTGGCCAAGCCAAGAAATAGAGAACTGGAGCCTGCGAGTAGCAACTAGGCTTTATCCACCTGGATTGATGACCTACTTTGGCAAACCCCCATGTGCATGTGCGTACACACACACACACAGAGGCTGGGAGCCTCAATGGAGCTCCTCTGGAGGCTTCACCCGGGGCAAAAAAAAACCCAGTTAGCCACCTCTCTGCCCCCCACTGCCCCTGTAGCTATGGATCTGAGCAATGCATTTATTTTCTTTATTAAAACATATAACTCAGTTGGTAGAACATGAGACTTTAAATCTCAGGGTTGTGGGTCCCAGCCCCACTTTGGGCAAAAGGATTCCAGCATTGCAGGGGGCTGGACCAGATGACTCTTGCTGTCCCTGCCAACTCTACAGTTCTATGGTTCTATTCTATATTTATGCCACTTCTTTCCATGGAAATATGAAACTCAAGGCAGCTTGCAATGGATTCATCTTTCTATCTATTGATAACTGGTTGTATTGCCAGTTGCACATTCTAATCCATTTGGGAAAATGCTGTAGCAAATGCAATAATATATCAACATACAGAAAGGATTGTAACATCCAGTGTTGTTGTTTTTATTAGTAATTGGTTATTCTACTGCATTAAAAATAATAATTGTAAGCTGCCTCAGTGCAGTACATAGAGAATGCATTCTGCAGTGTTGGGAGCCAGTTAAGAGTCTAGTTGCTGAAATATTGGGGGCTGGATCTGATAAGAGATTGGATCCCATCCCTATATAATGGTCTGTTATTAACAGATGTGCATTGTCTTGTTGACTGAGGTTGCACAAGAGAGGTGTGTATGTGCATTTGTGCAAGTTAGTGGCAGAATGGGAACTGAACTGAAAGGAAGCGGGGTTCTATCTCTCCCCCATCCCCCAAACTGCCACCCACATACAATCCATTAACTCTGCAGGCATAGCTAAGCTACAGGAAAATGTGGTTTCCAGCCCTAAACAATTTCTGTACTTGTGTCCAAGTCTAGTTTGTGTGTGGGTCCCTCTTAAAGACACATCCCCACCACCCCTTAAGGATTGTTGCATATAACACTTCCGGGAGCTTGAGCAGGGACTCCTCTGACACTTTTGGATACTTCAAAGGGAGTCGGGGGGGGGGAGAGAGGCAATGACCTTCAATGGTTTGCTCTGTTCCAATTCTAGAGAACCGGAGAACGAGTGTGAGCCTGTGCACTTAGGACTCAATGATTGAAACATCAAGGAGTAACTTGCATAAATGAATAGAGCCATCACAGATATAGGACCATCAGAAACTGAATTTTCACTGCAACTCTGGGCGACGGATGCTTGAGTAATCAAGGGATGTGATGTACATGCATGTGAAAGCGGAATCCATGAGTTTCACCTGGCTTGAGAGAGAGAAAAAAGTTTATCTGAGCAAGAGAGCTGGCCTTACAACTCCTGTGCCTTTACAGGACTGCTGGAAGCAACTGATTTGGGGATCACCTTCTATTTCATAGTGGGCATCGCTCCACTGCAGTGCCCCTGCCTGCTTTTGTTGCTGTGGGATCTCCTGGCCTAACCTATTAATTTCCCTGTCTTGCCTCTGTCCAGGTGTTTGGAGCCATTTCCTAAGTGGGCAGGTAGCTGTGTGGAAGATCTTGGATCCCCGAGTGTCACCCTGGCTCAGGTAGATATCCTCTTGGAAACAGTGCGAGATAGGGGGTACCTGGGAACTTTTTTCACCTGGTGAGTCAGATCTTTATATCCCTGCAGCCTATAGGCCAACTTTGACAGGTGGGCAGGGCCACCCATCTGTCAGTCATCTGATGTCATTACCGTGCCAGGTAACCTATCAAAATGGATCGTTGGGGTGGGGTGGGATGGCTTCTGGAGGGATTTGGTAAGGCAGCACCCAGCAGGATGGGAACCTCCACCTCCCTATCATGACGTAGACCCTAGTTTGTTGTCAGGTATTCTCAGTGCTTTTTTTCTGGGTGAAAGCAGGGGTACACATACCCCTAAACATTTTGTGAATCTTTGTACTTTTATCCATTCACTGTATTTATTTCCCCCAATTTGAATTATGAAATGGTGATCTTCTTGAGTCAAAATTAGCGTACCCCTAAACATTTTTTTAGAAAAAAAGCACTGGGTATTCAAATATACAATTCCCAGCTATTTTTAGGAAGAGCTACACCTTATCCCTGCCCCCCCATCCTGCTGCTAATGTGCATTATTGGTATTATACATTTATAGAATGGGAGGACATACCTGAAAGACTGTAATTCAATGTTCTCTGAAAAGAGCAAAAATTTTCAAAAAAGGGGGGCTCCTTGTCTGGGGATTCTTGTCAGGGTACAAGGGAAGGCTGCTTTGGAGTTCACTCATTAGGAAAATCTAGGGGAGACAGAATATCAGGCAGATCTGCCCAGTTAGATCCCCTCTCCTGCTCTCTAGGTTAGCAGCATCCGTCCCACCTGGGGAGGGAGGACAATGACCGAAAGTAACCACCATCACCAACGGGCAACTAGGGGACGTCGTGGATCGGGAGCAAAGCAAGGTCAGTTGATGAGAACATGTGTGCCATTGATTTCGGTGGGAATTTAGCTCAAAGTCACGTCCGGTAATATTTTTGTCTGCCTTGAGACTGTTGATCTTACAAAAGGGGGGGAGGTGAGTATTCTTAGGCTCTTACATTTGTTTCCCTTCCTCCCCCCGCAATTCCCCTATTGTTGATATTTACAGTGAAGGAAGACAATGAAGCTTATAAAATAGCTGTACCTTTGGACGAGCCGCGCCAAATGGAATCGCAGACTCAGACTCAGCAACAGTTGTATTATGGTCTGAGCCCTCCTCAGAATTTTGATGGTGAGAAACATTCCTGTCAGTAATATATGAGAGAAATCAATTACTGTATGTGTTAATTTGCTCCTACTGAAAATCAAAGTACAGTGGTACCTCAGGTTAAGAACTTAATTCGTTCTGGAGATCCATTTTAGCCTGAAACTGTTCTTAACCTGAGGTACCACTTTAGCTAATGAGGCTTCCTGCTGCTGCCATGCCACCGCCACGTGATTTCTGTTCTCATCCTGAAGCAAAGTTCTTAACCTGAAGTACTATTTCTGGGTTTGCGGAGTTTGTAACCTGAAGCATCTGTAACCTGAAGCGTCTGTAACCTGAGGTACCACTGTATTAGATGCAAAGAAGGCTATGGCTTCAATAAGGCAGATGCAAATCTCCCTTGCCTCGTTTGCTTCTCACAGGAAAGGCAAGAAGGGTTTGGAAAGGTTTTTGGGCAGAGTTGGGTGCGGGACCTTTGGGTGTTTGAAGAGAAGCGGGGAAGCAAGTAATTGTGAGCAAGTCGAACTTCCGCGGTGACGTAACTGTGCTGCCCTCAGAGACACCGGAGATGCCAGCTCCCTCGTTGACCTTGGTGACCAGCATGAGAACTCAGCTGCACATGGCCCTGGAGAGGAACTCCTGGCTGCAGAAGCGAATTGAGGACCTGGAGGAAGAACGGGACTTCCTGCGTTGCCAGCTAGACAAGTTCATCTCCTGCGCCCGTCTGGATGCTGGTAACTCGAGAACTCTTGAGTTCTCCGGAGGCTGAGTGGGTGGGCAGGCGGTGCTTTGCTGGGAGGGGGCCTTTCGGATTCTCTTGGGAGGAAGGGCCAGGGGAATGTCAGCCAAGGCACCTTGGAAGGACGCAGCGCTATTTTTCTAGAAAAAGAACTCACCATGAACCCCTCCCTGGTTCTTAGAATGGCAATGGCATCCACCTGAGAGGTGCCTGAACTGAGTTCCAGTTGGAGGTCCCTGTGTTAGAGAGTCAAGGGCTGTGTTTTTTTTGGGTTCTCTGATTTGAGGAGCTTGACTCTAGCTGTGCTATGGCAGGCCTCTGTCATAGCACAGCTAGAGTCAGGCCTCTGTCTCCTTCTCTGTCTGATGCGTCCTGCCCTTTCCCCTCCGCCCTAGATGAGCACTGCCGCAGCAAGCAGCTCCCACGGCGGTCCGAGGTGTCTGACAGCAGGAACGGGGACGTGACAGACGACGACAGTATGGGCTCCTGGATGAGTGCCAGCCCCGAGGAAGGAGGCTCCGCGGAGCACAAGAAGCAGAAAGGAGGGGTCAACAGGCGGCGCTTTGCCAAGCCCAAAGTCCGCGAGAGGCAGAGAGGTGAGTGGCAATGGGGTGTGTGTGTGTCAAAGTAAGGGACCACCGTTTCAGCCTACAGAGCTGAAGGCAGAGGGTCCCTGCCCCCTTCTGTGGCACACGCACCTATTACACATTAAAATAATAGATCACCATACAGAAAAGAGATGTTCTTCCAGGTGACAGATATGAACAGATTTCCAGCATAAAATCACCATTCCTTCTCTATAAGAATTCATTACAATTTCCTCCACCAACACACAAAATTATGCCACTACTGTGTCCCCATTTAGCAGTCCCACTGGCTCAGAGACAGCGATGACCAGGCTATTGCTGGACCCAAGGCATCCCCTGTAGACATGGATTCAGCCCCGCCCCCATGCTCAACAACCGACTCAGAATGCGGTGCTCAAAAGGGGAGGAAGGAAAGCTCACAAAGTGCACAGCCCATCTGGGACGAAGGTTCAAGACCCACCTGAGGAGTGGAAGACACTTTTGCTGAGGAAAGGGGCCAGGACAGAAACAGTGGTAACCATAGCCATATATTGGCGGTGGCCGTAACCTCCAGTGGTTCACTCCATAGTGACAGGGTTGGGAAGAAGATGATGGAGGCGGAAGCATCACCAGAGGGAAGTAGGGGAGGGAAATACCCCTGGGATACCTCCCCTCCCTGCAAAGGAGTTATGTTAGGAACAAGAGAAAGGAAACTTCTGGGACTCCAGCCCACTGAGTCACAGCAGCAAGACAAATAATGGGGAATTTTGTTTCCTCAGCTCACAAATCTCGTCATAGACACCAGGGCTGCAGGAGGAGCCCTGGCCAGCTGCAGCACCTCAGGCAGCATCCCTTGAGATGGGGATTCTGTGTTTCAAATCGAGGAAACGGCACCATGCATTAGGTCCCCCCTCCCAGGCCCAGCTGACCCTCCTGGGAGCAGTTCTGCATGGACTAGTCGCCTGGCTGGGCCTGCATGGCTTCTGACCCCTCCTTTTCCTCTGGCAGCCCAAGGGAGGTGAGGAGAGGAATCCTGACCCTTGGAGAAACAGGAATGCCTCTTGAAACGCTGGCCTGTGACTCACCCACCCCTTTAGGTTTTCCCTCACAAAAGCATCGTCTTGATAAATTGCTGCGATAATATGTTCTCTCCTTTTTCTTCATTTCTTGTTCAATTCTCACATTTCTCCACCCTCCTCTCCCATTGTCCTAATCCTCCACCACTCTTTCCCCCCCTTCCTGTTGCAAATCAACCGGCTGGCCTGCCACACACGATCACTTGCTTCCATTTTTCTCCTCCACCTCTTCTTTCTCTCACCTTCCGTCCTTTCTCTCTGCATATCCTCCTTTTCTTATCTATGGATGCTGCTCCTCAATGTTCAACACCTGCATTACCTGCTTGTTTTACTTACTGTTTTTTGGTGTTTTTTTTGCTTGGTCCCTGGGCTGTTCCCTTCCCTTCCCCCTTCCCTGGTGCTGGTATATTTGACTCTAATTTATCCCGCCTTCAATTTCTGCTTCCCAAATTTGGGCTTCCATTGGGCCACTGCCTCCTTCTGTCGGTCCTTCCCATTTCCTGTGATTTCTGCCTCTCGCAACTCTCGGGTGTTTTCACGAGTGGCCATGCTTCCCCATTTCTCCTCCTCAACCCTTTCTCTTCTTCTTTCCCCCCACACTCCTGTCTATGGGTCGCTGCTGGGGCCCTCTCCTCTGAACCCAACCCCCCGCCCCCGCTGCAGTCAAAGATGTGGATGGGGTGCTGTGCCGCTACAAGAAGATCCTGTACACTTTCCAGAAGCTGCAAAGCATGAGCCGGGCCTTTGAGCACCACCGTGTGGACCGTAACACTGTGGCCTTGACCACGCCCATCGCCGAGCTCCTCATCGTGGCCCCTGAAAAGGTGGCGGAGGTGGGGGAATTTGACTCGTCCAAGGAGCGCCTGCTGGAGTATTCCCGCCGATGCTTCATGGCTCTGGACGATGAGACTCTCAAGAAGGTCCAGGCGCTCAAGAAAAGCAAACTCCTCCTGCCCATCACCTACCGCTTCAAGCGGAAAACGGACACCCCCGGCCCGGCGGCCAGCAATTCCTTACCCTCGCCCACTACCCCACCCAAGCCCCCTCCGCCCATTGCTGACTGCTTTAAGCGATGATTCCCCCTCCGGGCTTTGCCTGAACCCACTTTGACAGCCCTCTAGTCTCTATTTCCGTCTACCGTAGTTATTGAGGAAGCTCCTGCTGTGCTCCCCTGGGGCTCTTCTGCCTTCCTTGTCAGCCCCTTTCACCCTTTCCCACAGTTTCTAGTGCTAAAGGCAAGCTCTGCCTTTGTAAGGCAAGTGGGATGCTTTTATCCTGGCACAATCATCTCTTTGGGAAGCATCATCTGACCAGGCGCTCCCGTTTATATGTCAGCTGGTTAAAGGCTACTGAGATGAACTGGATTAAATTCACTCCATTTACTTCCATCTTAAGAACTGGCAAAATGACTGCCCAGTGGGAGTAGCGGGGGAGCAGGTTAGTGGGACAGAGTACATCCCATTCATAGGTAAAGTGCTGTGGTGGAGAGGTTGCTTCAGACTGGCTGTGCAGGTACAGTAACACCTATAGGACCGCCAAGGCATTCATCAGAGACGGTGTCTGCTGCCTTGCAAATAAGCTACGAGGTGACACATTTTTCTTACACAACACTCCCCTGCATACTGCTTATTTGTGGCACGTCAGCAGCCCCAAAGGGCTGAATAAACATTGGCAGAAATTTCCCTGCCTTGTTGCTCGGAGGCCAGTTGTGTTTGCCGTAGGTAAGTGTGTGTGTTTGCGAGCTTGTTTTAACAGCTCCAGAACTTGGGGCAGGGATGCTCAAGATGGCTCGGCCTTCCCCTGAAGGCAATGTCTGTCTCCTTAAGAAGTTAGCGTAGACAATGGATTTACCCACCTCACGTGCCATCTCACTGCTCCCCTCCCCTTTCCAGCCTGCTGTGAAGCAAGACTAGAACGATTGCTGAACAGCCTGCAGTGGTCTTGCCTTTTGGCCACTTCCTTTCTCTTTTCTTTTACTTCCAATGCTACTGGCACCTTCTTAAGCTTTTCTCTTCCTGTTGCCTTTTTGCTATAACAGTCCTTAGCCTGGAGGAATGAACTGCAGCATTTGGCTGCCTCTAAATAATTCCCTATAGTCTCCCAAAGAAATTCCCACATCCCAAGGCTTCCTTGCATCTCTTTACCGCCATGGACACCACCTGCCCTCTCTCATGTTTTCCTGTTCCAGGTTCTGAAGCTGGGCTGTGTTTGGTGGCAAGCCATTTGCACTTCCTTTTTGCTTATTGAGACAGAGACTGTGTGTACACTCCAACACCTCTGTGGCTTCAAGCTGCCACCTCATGTGTGAGCAAGGGTTTTGTTTGTTCTCTGCTCCTTTGGGATGTCTCCCCTTTATTCAGTGTAATGAATGGACTGTTTCCACTGTGCCTGTAATTTATCACCCAGTTTTTCCCTCTGTGTTAAAAAAAAAATAATTTAAAAGGAAAATGTAAAAAAACCAACAATTTACTAAGAGGATTTAAATTAAAGCGTTTTGAATAAAACTCAGCAATGTGTGGTTTTAATTTTTCATGTTTGTATAATTGCTGCAAAAATGTGTGAATTTGTGGCTAGTTGGGATATTCCTGGCTTGGAACAAGGGGATGAAGAGCTGGATGTTGGCAACTGATTCAAATCCTCAGCTGTATATTATCTGGGAGTCAGAGTTAAGTTGGGTGTTACTCAGTTTGTTACCAATTTGTAAAATTAATGGCATGCCCTCAGTTTTGGTGTGAGGATGAGAGAATTATTGTGAAATGTACACTAAATGGCACAGTAGAATTTGGCATAGAAACATCTGTCCCAGGGTGTGGCCTAAAAAATGCAGGAAGGCACTACTTTACTGAAGCAGATTCAGAAAAGGGATTTCCTTCATATTTGGTGAACTTAGCATTTTGTTAGTGTGGAGTTCTCCTATGAAAGCCCCACTAGAGGAACAGGAGGGAAAATGTGCTGTTAAAGAACCTCAGTGGGGTGTGTGGAAAGCTTCACAGCGGTTCCCAAATGGTGGTACGCAGACCCCTCAGGGGGTCCATCTAACCCACTCTGGGGTCCATGGCATATACCCATCAACTGTCCGAAAATGCGTGAGTATGCAGCGCCCAAAGCCACATGTTTTTGGGTGCTTTGACGCACGGAGGAGCGCAGCCCAGAATATGCACATCCTGGTTCTGGTAACCACTGATCTAGATCATGAAAGGCATGGGTGTACCTATACTTTGGCAAATGTTGCAGCCAACTTAAAAAAAAAGAAGTGGTTGTATTCCAGCCATTGTAGGGGGAAACCAGTCATATCTCAAGCCATGAGTGTTGCAGTCATTGAAATTGTGAAACGCATAAAGTAAAACAAAAAAACCCGAGAGCCTATCTCTCCTACAGGAATAAGAAAGCAGCATGAATGGAAGCGAATATTAACCTCTGCCTTGTGGGTGAATTATGACTCATGGCATAGAATTTGAAAACAATGTCCTGCCCCCTTTTACAGTGCATCCACTATGCAGCTGATGGCTACTCCCTTTGGGAGTCCACATTTAGGTGGGAGAATGTTGCTGCTGTTGCTGTGCTCGTGTCCTGTTTTAAGAGTTCCCTGTAGGCATTATTAGAAGAATTTTAAGGTCTCATATATAAAATATTCATAAATGCACACATATCTAAATATATGAACCAAGTGTCGGAAATAGTCTGGGAGAGCAATCCTGAAGCCATTTTGACTCTCCCAATGACCTCAAATATTCCTCTGCAGGAAGGGAGGCAAATGGGAAAAAACCTCCCATTGTCTTTTTGCTTGCAAATCCTGTCTTAAGGTCATATTTGTGTATGAATAGGGCGAGTCTGAGAGATGGATTCAAGAACTAAAGTATTAACTATCACAAAAGAATGTCCACACTGCCCAGGGAATGCAATCAGTGACCATTACTGTATTAGGTATCCTGGCGGACAGGATTTCTGCTGCAGACCGCCTCCTGTAATGTATGTATGATGTTTTGAGGGATGGTCTTGGGCTACAGGGTGGGCAATTTCAAAAGTCTATATAAAGGCTTGCACACCATTGTTCAGGGTTCTCCTCCCTCCTGCGTGTGGTAAGTGGGGACCCTGTTGCAACAGTTTACTAAAGATCAGGCTTACTAGCCTTTTTGCTTCTCAATATACTCTGGTTGGCCTCTGTTATTTTCTCCTACTGATAGGGAACCCACTTAAGGACTCTATACGGGCTCCGGAATACCCCATAAGGGAAAGGGAGCAGTTTTTTCTTATAACAGCGTTTTGTCGGCCCCTGAGAGGAGAGGATGCTGATCTATAGTTGGGCTTTTGTTCCGATCCCAGCAGGGCCCTTCTCACGCTGATCCTCATCAAAGGCTTTATTTCTTATAAAGAGCGGTCACCACGTGGTCAAGGTGCAAGAGCTGTGCCGGAAGCGACTGGCTAACGTCCGACGGAAATACTCGCCAGCCCCGGAAACAGTTGTGGAAGACTCGGGAGAAGCCGCGCTCTCTTTCTTCTCCCCTCCCTCCTTTTAAGCGGGAGCCCGAACGGAAGAGCCAAACTCATGCGGCGCTAAGAAACAGACGCTAGCGGAAGTACCCGAGGCTCTCCGGAAAATTCCGAAGGCGCGGGGTTCTGCCTTCCCCGAGGCTCTCCGGAAAAACCCGAAGGCACGGGAAGGGGGGCAGCCTCTCCCGAGCGTTCCTGGGAAGGCTCTCTGAATAAAAAAAAGCGAGCGAGGCTTTGTCCTAGAGAGGTTAAGGAGGCCGCCGAGCGTATTTCGAAAGCGTCTTCCGGAGATAGCCGAGCGTTTCCGTTAACACCCGAAGCTGCCGCCGGAAGTTGCCGAACTCAAGGGAAGGCGCCCCTGCGGCCTAGTGCGTGAGGAGGAGCTGGAGAGCGAGAGCTACTAGAGCAGCTGCGAGGCCGCGTTCAGGCCGCCCTCCTCCGTCCCGTCTCCGTTAACCATGTCCGACTTCGACGAGTTCGAGCGGCAGCTCAACGAAAACAAACAAGGTGAGCGGACAAAGGAGCGGGTGGGCCGAGAGGGGGTGGGGGAGAGAGAGAAAGCGAGCGAGGGAGGCGGCCCTCTTCGACATTGATGGCTCTCTTGCGCCCGCCACACGCTCTTCACGACGGGCCCTGAGCTGCCCTGGAGCGGGTGGGGAGGGGGCGGCTAAATGGCCCTCCCATCGACGGTGGAGACCCGAGTTAGGCCGAAGAGCGCGTGTGTTTGTGCGCGGCGACGGGGGGAGGGGCGGCCGGCCGGCTCTCGCGTGTCCGGCCACTTCCTTTTCCCTCTCGCTTTATTTGGCGGGAGTTTGATCGTGGGGGTAACGGCAGCTGGGGAAGCGGGGGAGGGAAGAGAGGCGAGGAGAACCGTTGGTGGCCCTGCGCGCGCGCCCTTAACGGAGTGGCGCGTGGCGGGGCTACGGAATGCGGGGAGGGCTCTTGCCCTCTCGGGCCACTTTCTGCCCCATGAGGCGGACTCTGGGAGGAAAGGGACCTGGAGTCCGTTTTGTTCACTCTCTTGGGGAAAGAGGGAGGCTGCCTAGTTGTTATTACACCGCCCCCCCCCAAACAACAACTTTCCTCGCTTAAGAAAGCACCGCACCCCCCAAAACAACAACTTTCCTGCAAAGAAAGCACACGATGCAGCCTTTACGCCGCGGGGAGCAAAGGATGATGGAAGAAAGGATGCAGCATGATGGAAGAAAGGCGGGCCAAGTAAATAAGTAACTGGTTCTCCCGCCCACTCCCAGTGCAGGATTTGCGTTAGGGAAGGTGGGTTGTAAACTTGAGAAATGGGAGGGGAATGTTTGTTCATCTCGGTAAGTATTCCTCCGTGCTGAGAGGCAGAGGTTGCACAGGATTTCGGAAAGGAGGCTTTCCCAACCCTACTTGGGACCCATTTGCATGTATAGCGTGCTGTGTACCACTGAGCAACACCCTTCCTCTCAAAACTCTCACGTTTGTGGGTTTTCTTACTATTTTTATCTCATCCTTTAGGGAGATGAAAGTAACATATGGCGATACCCACACACCCCTTTTGCCCTCACAACAATCCAGGGATGGGTAGATGAGGCTGAGATGGTGACTGGCCCAAGATTATGCTGTGAGCTTCTTCACTGAGTGGGGATTTGAAGCCGGATCTCACCATTCTGATGTTAGCAACTATGCAACTTTGGCTCTCACATCTCTTGTCTCTCTTCCCACCTCTTCTCACTTATTTATCCTGGCCTTCCATGAATCTCATGAACTTTCCTCACAACCATGAGGTAGTCTGTGCTTAGAGTGAATGACTTTCCCAAGGATCCAATCTCCAGTAGTCCTCATCCAGAGCTGCCCACTACACCACAGGGGCTGAACCACATTTCTTCTTTTCCCTACATCGTAGAATCAGTTGGAAGGGACTCTGAGGATCTTCTAGTGCAGCTGTCTGGGTATGAAGCTGTCCCTTACGGGGAATATGCAGCTGTCCCTTACAGGGATTAAACCTGCAACCATGATGTTATCAGCACCACACTCTAAGCCAGCTGGGCTATCCAGCTTTCCCTCAGTCCTCTAAGTTTTGGGGGGAAAGTCCAGATTTACATACAACTCAACCAACACACATTAATTAGATTTCCCCCCATCAGTAATTATACTAAATTCACTTGGCCTGAGGCACTACTTTGCGCGCGCACACACATACACACACTTTCAACTGGTTGCCAGCATAATGGAAAACTACTGTGTCAGAGGAGCTTGCTGGTATTCTCCTTGGAGTGGATCTCTTTTAAAACAAGCTGCTTAGCATGGACACTGAGTAAAGTATTGTCTTTCCTTCTTGGGCTAATTTTTCAACCACCTGCAAAATACATTACCCCATTTCCCTTCATTCGGCTCTTTTCTCCACCTTTTTACAAATCTTAGTTAATTAGAAAGG